TGAATAACGATTGCTCTTCCAAGAAATCCATCATAATTATACAGAGCAGAAATATCTACCTTGAGATCGAAATGCATAACTCCCTTGGCGTCTACTTGAAGATTTCCAAGATCACCAGGATGTCGAGGGGAGCCTGTTAATCCACCATGATTACTGAAAATGTATCAGAATAAGTGAATATTACTCATAGTAAAATAAACAATCAATAAATATTCAAAGTTAACTGACTTAACTGAGGAATTGTTCTGTGATGAAACGCTCAACTATATTTTTGGATATATATTTTCTCTGGTTTATTCCAGTTTGTTGAGAACCATTTAACGTAAATGGTAAACACCTTATCACACTTTTTTTCTATAACTTCTCTATTTACAAATGCTCTAGTCATTCAGAGGATTGTCTTTATAACATTACCCTTTTTCAACAAATAACTTTTATGTACTGAAGGCGTTCAATATCAATTCAATGGCCGACTATTTCGTCACATTGACTGTGTTGTATTGAGGAAAACAGTTTGGGGGGAACTTTATCCTTGACTCAATGTTGTCATGCTTAGAAGCTGGCACTTTACAACAGCATATACAACTGACGGAATGGAATCTAAGTTGTACAGATCTTATTTGTATTGTCTTCTAAAATTAAGAAGTCAAAGGCGAAAAATTTATTGGTGAAATTCAGCACATTCGTCCCAATCTTAACCCCAAACTAGAACACAAAGAAAATTATACTATTAAATTCCTAGATGGTTGTTTTGGTGAAATGGATTGAGGGCACAATAGAAAATCCATATTCAAAAAGTTTTCATGGACGGGACAGTATTTATATATGTCCAAACCAAGTTCACTTTTAACGGTTTAAAAAAATTTGGGCATTGGGTATATGATATTCATTATAATAAAGGTTTTTTTATTTCCCAATGAATGAAAAACAAAACGATATTGTTGGGACAGTATTTACACTTGAAGAGCTTTGTTCCCATCCAGTATAAAGGGAACCTAATCAGAATACTGTTCAGTAGAACCAGGGAAATCTTTTCTGACAGTACAATTGAATATGAAACAAGGACAAAGGCAATTTTATCTAAAAATGGATATATCGTGAGAGGTTTACAAGTAATTACTTCAGAGACATATGTGTCAGTACAACCGTCCAAATCGTTTTAGAGACAGATATTCTCATCAATCTGCCATTAGAAGTACTTCATTTGCAAGAATTTTCAAAGAAAAACTTCATGAAGCTATTAGGACTCATTATGCTACAAAGCCTTTGCTCTTCAATACCCCCAAGCGAATGCTTCACTAGTCTGGGAAATACTTTTGAACAAATCCTCAATACGTCCAACTGCGTATATCAGTTTCAGCTTGTTTGTAGAAACAAATGCGCAGCTTATATAGAAATCCGATTGTCTTTGCATGACGACTAATTGTCTGCTATCTTCTACAGCAGCACTCCACTTCATCTCCACCTTCTTCTATTTTCTACTGTCCTATTCACCTGCGTCCACAATTGCCTATAATCTCGCATCTCCTCCACACATGATATCCTCCATGTTACCCTCACGCCGACAACCCGCTCGTCACCGCTTCCTATCTCGATTTCACTAGAGCTATGGTCTGTCATTCGACGTCCTACTGAGCATGTGCCCGAACCATCTCCATTTTCTTCTGCATATCTGTTGAGCAATCGATTCTTGCTAGTTTGGTTTGTTCCCAGTCAGAGTTTCTTTCTGGCCGGCCAGCCAACAATTTGATCTTAAGTATGGAGCCAGGGAAGGTGTCAGCTTCTGATAAATGTCTGTAACTTGTTGGGAATGCTTTCATGACTTACACGCAATACAAGTTTCTGACTTATATAGAAGAGCTGACTGACTTCACATTTCCGTTGAAAATCCGAATCTTGTTCTTTCTGCTGAAGCAGAGTGCGGCAGCCAATTTCCAAACTGGTCTCAGGCTAACGAAGGCGTATCTTGCCATGCTAATTCTGGCCGGCTGGCTGACTTTAACATCTTCATCAATTCCTCTTGTAGTGGAAATGGTGGTGCTAAGATATGTGAAAGAAGTAACTTCTGTCAAATCTCTCCTGTTGATGCTGATTGGCTACCTTCATAACCTCCATCTTCTCCACGGTCATCTGGGGTCCCGTCCTCGCTGCTTCTTCAACGAGTTAGTTGGTTTTCGCCTGCCAGCCTGTCTGTAAGTCTTGGAGTTTGTGTTAAGTCATCTGTGAAACCCAGATTTTCTAGAGTCTTCTTATTGGTCGTCCAGTGCATTCCTCACTCCTCGTCCCCAACAGTCTGACGCACAATCCAGTCCACCACAATTAAGAATATCGTCAGTGATAATAGGCACACAGCCCTGTCTTACTCCTGTGTTCACTTCGAACACCTCTGTGAGTCTTCCGTTGTGGATCACTTGACACGTAGCATTGTCATACAGCTGTTGAATGAGTTTGATAAAGACTTGAAGTAAGTCTTAGTCTCGAAATAGTTTCCAAACTACTTCTCGGTCAACGCTGTCAAAGGCCTTTACGAAGTCGATGAAGTTGAGGTAGAGGTTAGACTGCCATTCTATGCTTTGTTCTGTGATGGCGATGCGTAGCATCATCACATTCACATCCTCATTCCATTTATTTATGTGACCTTGACTTGTAAACATTTGCACCTGTCTTTTTGCGTGATTGATTCCCTGGAGTTTATTTGTCACCCATACATTTCGCAATGTATTTCTGATAACATATATGCATACATATATATGTCACTGCTCCGTCATATCTATGTCCTTGACCGTAGAATATTAGACTCAGGAGAAGTTCTACCGAAATTTGATGAATTCATCAAATGTTGCCCTATTAACATTTGTTGTTTATTTGAAATTCGTATCAGGAAATAAATGTTTCCATTGTTAAAGTTAATTAAATATTTGCTATCAGTCAACAAATAGATGGAGATAGTGATGAATAAATGAAAGAGATCATTCAGTGGATGGTGACTACCAGTGGAATTCAGGTAGGAATGCATTTCGTCTTATTTAGATCTCATAAGCTGGAATTTCTAGGAATCCCAAGTGGGTGATGATTTTCCAACTGAGATATGATGGATGCTTGTGCTCGCGTCTCTCTGGAGGTTTCACATACATACAGCTAACGACTCACAAACAGCAGCAAATGTGCCTTCTAGATTCCACTGAGAGCCACTACCCAGTAAATAATATCGTGTTTAATCTATAGACATGGATGAAGCGTGCGTACTAGGATCTGACATGTCAGTGAAGGTCGAAAATTTCGGTATGATCATAAAATGAAGGGAATGTTTATAACATAAACAATCAAGTCTGCTAACACCTTTAGCCTCTGCATATAATACATCATTTAATCAGTTTCCGCAGGTAACTTAACAGGTCATTATTTTAGGATTTTTAATTTATATTGATTTCTGAACTATAAAACAAGAGTTTACAGAACAACACAAAGTTTTTAAATTAAACCATGTGTTCATAACACACTTCGAATGCGAAAGTGCAGAAAACTGAGGAAAAACATGGTCTAGAATGTGCTACTCTCACTCTAACGGAAACATTTATGACTGACTCTGAGCATTTTATACTAACAAGCACGAATTCACACGGGTTCAGGAGAGCTTTCTACACGACTCTGTCATCAGAACTGTAGGTGTTAGTGACATTAAATTAGAACGTCTTTTTTAGATCATTCCTAGAATTATCACTGACTCAGAAACTCATCTTCCGATATGCTTAGCTGGAAAATTTATAAGTCAAAGATGTTGGTCAGCTCATCTGTTCTGAATTACCTGCCTTCATAATCTTCTGATTTCATGCACACGCCTACACGATAAATCGTGTTACTATTCTCATTCTGAATAAATACAATTTATTCTTAGTAAGGAAGGTATTTTGCTCTAAACGATGACGCGGTTTCATAACTGCATTTATTACATTTCTTTTCTACAAATACTTTTAGAAAGACTTTCATTGTGGATATTCAGTGGAAAACTTTGCTAATACTTCAAAACGAAGATATCGTCTCAATAAATCCTAACGACCAAGATGAGATGTAGAATAAAAAATAGATGAATAGCGGCTTTACATTCTATTTTTCCCCCCTTTGATTTTCGAATGCGACATTGGGCTGCAAGCTTTGAAGAATCAGTGGCAGTGGCGGTATTCTTACTACTGTGTGGAGTTACCAGCCTCACATCCAAACTTCCTTATTTATCGGGCTTACAAGTGGTTAAGTGAGGTTTAGGATTTCGTCGACCATAGACAGAACCCGAACTACATTCATGGTTGGTGGACACCAGTGCTGAAGAATTACGAAACTTTCCACTAGGCATGTGTGTTATACACCAGTAATAATTAATATCCTAAATGGAATATCACTTTTCGCAAATTATTTCAAATTTACTATGTGTACAACTTACGTTAATTAAACTGTGTATTAAATACTTGTTCACCAACCAATCGGCCTTACGCACAAATCTCAAAAAGTAAGGATTTAATATTAAATACCATGGACAGTCCAACTATTCTTATCGAATATTATGACAGAATTTAGTTGGCACTAAACAAAGGGCTATACACATGACACCTAGTTTCTAATCAAAATATGTATTACAACCCTACTGGAGATCAATCCGGAGCTCAAATACCTCAGCACAACCATCTATGACTGCGGTATTCGGTGACATGAGTTGAAATCTCAGAAGGAAAATGATCTCCTTCCACTTAGCACTTACTCCTTGCTGATGAGTGATAGCGGGAGAGAAACCTGGGTCCAACTCCTCCAACCAGCTAACAACCACAATTCAGGGTGCATTATGATGGCAATGCACGCAGCATGATGGCCACATTATAAACTTGACTGACGGAATTAAGTTTGCGTGAAACAAGGGACTAGACGCATGGCACTGGTTACTACGTAGTCTCTAATCACAGTATCGAACTGCATGATTAAGAGGACAGTTATTATCACAAAACAGTATTTACCTGTCGAAAGGATTGAAATGTGGCCCAGCATCCAAACAATTATTACCGGTTGTTCCATATTCATGTATATGCACGCCTAATTTTTTATTGTTCGGCAGACCTGACACAGATCCTGTTATATGCATCTCTGGGCCTTGTCTTGTGAAGTATACACTTCCAGCATATTTTGTTCCATTGAAAGTGGCTATGGCGTACACAGTTCTCTGGCATTGTTGAATTGCTAAAAAGGAAAACAAACAGAGGGTGGTATGGTTTAGATAGTGATAAAAATTGCCACACATTGACAAATTAGTATGAATATTATTGAGAATATCCCCCTTTTTGCCACTTCCTGCCTTATTACAACACAATCTTTTCGTGAAAATATTTCCTTTAAAACACTATTATAATAATATTAATAATTCAAGTTGCTTATGCATGTAAGCTAGAAGTAGTTTGAAGCTAATCAGTAAGAAGATCAAACATTCTTCAATAACAGAGACAATGAAGGCGCTGAAATACAAACTGACTTCCTGACTGAGTTTCAATATTAAGAACTTTGCACAGAAGTGCACTACTTCAAACTACCTAATTTCATGCAGTACACAAAGGTAGAAAAAAAGTGAAAAAAAGGTGTTTAAATGAACTATAATCAGTAGAATTGTGCAGGAGAAAGAAACAACAGCAACCTTGAAGAAAGATTAGTGTCCAACTGTAATAATAATTATAATTAATCCCTTGGGTTCCGAGTGGAACATACGGCTGCAACAACACATCCTCACTTCTTTCCATTTTCTGCAGCCCTCTTAATCTGGGTCCACGACTGCTCATAATCTCTCATCTCCTCCTCCAACACACACGATCTCCACCCACGACCCATTTGTCGCCGCTTCCCATTTGGATTCCACTCAAGTGTTGGCTTGGCTAATGCACGATGTCATTTGACGGTTACCTCAATGTATACCCTGTCCATCTCCATTTTATCCTTCTTATTTGTCAAACATTCTTCTCTTGGTTGCTTTGTTCGCAGCCAGGTCAGTACACTCATTTTTGAGTTTTGTACCGTTGAAATATAAACGTAACCTGGTAAAGTGTCTGGTTCATAGAGCTAGGTTAATTTGTTCAAACGACTGCCTCAATGCGGAGCTTAAGATTATTAGGGAATTACTTGGAAAAAATGGTTATCCAGATAAATTCATTGGGAAAAATATGAATTCAGCACCAAGTAGAGTCAGTATGGCAACAGTTCCAAAAAAACCAATGTTCATAAAACTGCAGTTCCTCAGTAACAACATCAGCGAAATAACAACACAGCGCCTGAAGAATGCAGTTAAAAGAGCTTATTATGCAGCAGAGGTACGTTGTCTCTTCACAACCACCGCCAGCTGCATTGGGCGTACAATTAGGCAGGTTCATCATCGTATTTCCGATCATCATCCAACATAGTTAAGCAAGGGACAAACAAGTGTAGTGACCCGTTTTATTACTCATCATCGCAGTATACTTTCACTATGTAATTGGACTTTGCTTTGTTTATTACTCTGAATCATGCATGTTAACAATTGATACCTTTTGTACTCGCTCGATTTTTGAATTTTGATTGCTGCAATAATACACTATCGTATTCCTTCGCAAGTGCCTTTTGAATTACGTTGCGAATGTCGAGTAATCGCAACGTTAGGGCACAATTGTAAACGCGAGGAAGTATTAGGATATGTGTATACGCTAGATCAGTCAAAATAGAGCAGCAACAAATTGGCGAGCCCGACATAGCTGAATGATGGACTACATCATTTCGAATTATACACAGTGGAATAAATCATCTTTGCCATCGCATTAACTTTTATAACTTCATAACATTCGGATGTATAATTACTGATATTTCTGCTAAATGTACCTCCGGACCTGGCGGAACAGCGACTACTATCCCAATTCACCCTGATACTCAAGAAGCTATAGCAGCTGGCTGTTATGCAACATCTCAATTCCAGTTCTCTGTCCTCAAGCTTCAGCATTGTCTACAGGTGTGCAAACACTCTTACAATGGTCTGCAACTCCATTTACTCAAGCCGGTCCTACAACTGTTCAATTACAACAGTTTACCCAATCACCTCAACAACAACAGATTCAAGCACAAGCTCATCACTTACAACCAGCTCAACAGCCAACTTATATCCAACAACATCAGCAACAAGCAACAATGATGGCAACTGACGTCCCTGTCAGTGGTCAACCTGGTACTGTAGCTGCACGCTCCTATACTACTCCCCAGTTTATCACTCTGGCACCAGGAGCTCCATTAAAAGTCATGGCTGTTGGTCCTAACGGTCAGTTGATTCAAATCATTGGTATACCACAGTTTATGCCCATTGCTTCTGTTGGAATGCCTATCAATCAGCCAACGTCTACTCTCCAACCTCAGCAAACATCAATTCAAGTTACTCCTCAACGCCGAGTAACAACGCCCCAGCAACAACAACAACATGCTGACGGACGTTCACTTTCAACCGTATCAGCAGCAGCAGCTACAGCTGCACTCTTCTCTGGCACAGCCATCTCTTCTTGTACAATTCCACTTGTACAACCAGCTTTCATGGAAACAGAGGTAACTGAATGTTTACCCAAGTCATTTCCATACTTCCTTATTACTATACTATTAACTGTATGTTAAGATATAAATCTATTCTGTAACTCCTTACAATAACAACTTCATTATTATTCTAATAATAATTTTTCTGCTTTTATTGTTACATGTTGCACAACTTTCTAAACATTTTAGTTCGTTTCAAAGTTGTTAACATTTTCGAATATATACAGTTATAATCGAACCTCAGAAAACTAAAAAGCCTCAATTCGGTTTTCATATTTTTTTGTCCTTGTGATTTACAATATCATTCCGAATACAGGTAAACTTCATTTACCTGCATTCTACGGAGGGGCTATTGTAGTGACCCATTTTATTACTCATCATCACAGTATGCTTTCACTATGTAATTGGATTGCGTGTTAACAATTGATACATTGTACTCGCTCGATTTTTGAATTTTGATTGCTGCAATAATACACTATCGTATTCCTTCGCAAGTGCCTTTTGAATTACGTTGCGAATGTCGAGTAATCGCAACGTTAGGGCACAATTGTAAACGCGAGGAAGTATTAGGATATGTGTATACGCTAGTTCAATCAAAATATAGAATTCAACACAAGATCTATTCGTAGCTCTATTGTAGCACACCTTGTAGACAGTGAGCATAAGGTTGACGTTAGTACTGCATTTAATATTATTTATCGCATTCCTACTAGTCTTAATTTTCCTCTACGAGTTCGTCTTCTACAGACAGCTGAAGCAACAGGAATCCACCTGTAGAAGCCGAACTTGTGTGTTCAGAAGAAATTTGTACAGCCACTTTCCTTACCTTGGCCATAGTTACATAAATGTATAAACTGGACCACTTCACCGCCCTCCCCCTAAACCTTTGAAATTATAAAAATTATAATTGCCTAAATTATTTTTTCTGACCACTTCATCTTTGATTGCATGTTATCCTTGTAAAACTAATTTATTCTAACCATTTCTACCTTTTTAATGTGTATTGATTTGCTTCGTTAATTATCAACCCATTGACATTTTGACACTGACTAATTAATGTTAACAAACATATCGCCACTTGATTGGTAAACTGTTGTGTATTGTAATAAAAATGCTATGTATATTAGAGTAGAGCCAGAGATGAGGATCTAACTGAAAAGTAAATATTTCTTCGCTCAATGTTTCTGTTTTCTAGATGTCTAAATAAGGATTTTTCTATATTAAATTCTTTCTGTGTGGCTGGATATTTGATCTTCAGTATGGGGCCAGTAAAAGGGGCAGCTGTTGATGAAAGTTTGAAGCAGCCTGTTGGAAATCCTTTCCATGAAAAGTAGTGCAAATTTCTGACACGCACACAAGCATCGGCTTGACACTAGTTTTGAAAATGCGAACCTTCTTCTTTATGCTGAGTGCAGAAGATTTTGGAACTGGTTTCAGACTGATGAAGGCGTGCGTATCTTGCCTTGTCTGACTGTTATAGGAGATTAAAATAGTGAACTCATCTGGGCCAGTGAGAATCATTTTGAGCCGTATATTACCAATAGTTTCAAGATATTAGTTTTTGTCATCCATAGATACCCAACTAAGCTGTCTACACCTCCCTGCTCAGCTGGTTCAAACCAAGTGTTACAGACTTCATGAAATGATGCCAGGTTTCAGTTTGACCAGCACTAATTTTTTTTCAAACCTCATCTAATATCAGCTAACTTGTTCGACGAGGAAATTGATACTGAGTTCCATCTACTCAACTATTTATAGATTCTTTGAAGAAAAATAAATACATAAAATTCTGTATAAAGAAAATGAGGACCATATTTGAGGATGAGTGACTGTTTGAGTGACGTGCACATGCAATTCTTTCCCGTACAGATTGAAGCTTATTAATACTTAGTCATTTACAACGGATATTTTTATTACCTCTAAATGTGCCATACTAAATCTATCACTAATAGCGATTCTACCGCTCTGCCCGGGTTGAAGGGCATACTTACGAATTCAAATCCCAGACCAGAAATTAGCATCAAATCGAGTTTCAAAGCCAACTAACCACGCGTTAAACTGGGCTATATATTTGGAAGGTTGTTTATCTTCTACATTTTATCAATAAACAATTACTATCTTAACGATATGTTAGGAACTAGTCTACTTGAATGAGTAAATTTATCCTGCATTCTTGTAGAGAGTTTTCATCTCAACAGAATATAGTTAGTATTGAAGACATAAAGCATATATGGAGAGAAATCTACTCCAACTTTTCGCAACCAACTTTCTTATAACTTTCAAAATAAAGTGAAAAGCAGCTAATAACTTTTAACATTCCTTTCACAATTGTAATCTTTTTTTGTCTCGGTTGTGTTTGTTCAGCAGGTTAAATTATTTTCTGAGCTTTCATTGCCTTCAGCTCAGGCTTTAATATAAAATGAACTTGCTTGACTTCTGCATGAATGACATAGTTGTATCTCCTGACAGGAAATTTCAAAAAACCCCAAGTTTACAGGAAATCAACAAATACACACACACACACACAAAGAGACCAAATACTCAACTATGGTGGCGAAAATTCAATGACTCACAAAAGAAACCTTGTGGAGACATTGTTTAAAAGAGTTTGAACACACTGTAGCACTCCAGTGCTGAAGAGAATAGTACTGAATTATCTAATGTCTTGAAGCAAAATGAATACTCATACAATTTCATCAGAATGCGTTTAAACTGAAGTCTCAATACCAACAAGAAACCATTCTCAAAGACCACAAGGAAATTCAGTCTACCAATATATAAAGAATATCTCTAAAATAAGGGCTAGACTATTTATGCCATTTGAAATAGGCGTGTCATCAAACAAGCCGTTACAAACACTTCATTCGATATTGTGCAGACAAGAAGACCTAACAGCATTATAAGACCACTACCATCTACAAAATAAATTGCACAGCCTGTGATAAACACCACACTGGTCAAAGTGTGAGTCCGCTTAGAACCCAGAAAGCAAGAACATAAATTAGCTGTGAAAAGACACTATATGTATTCTTTCATATCGATACATGCAGATGTTTATCGTCACCGATTTGATTGAGAAAATGTAGAAATTTTAAACAATGAAAACACTAAAATTACTAAGGAATTTCTAGGAGCGTGATGCTCCAATAAATCAGCGATTAACAGACGAACACGTGACTATCGATCAAATTTACCAACCCAAAAAAAAATGAATCACACGATATGAAAGTTAGAAATCTGAGTCAACAAAAGTGATCAGTGTAAAACTGACAACTGATCACAACTATGGTGGCCAGGAGATACAATTATATCATTCATGAAAAATTCAAACAAGCTCAGTTTATACTAGTCGCTGCGCTGAAGTTGGTGTCTTGAAGAACAATAAAAGCTTTGCAGTTAATTCAACCAGCTGACAGGACTCATTTAAATTAGAATTATTCACCCTAGCTATAAATATTCTTTATTACAAATGTATTCAATTTTTCAAACGACAGTCATACCAGGCGGAAACTAAGTCTTTTACAGTTGAAGTAAGTTTCTAGCCGAATAGAAGCCACTGCCTTAAATAACATTGACTTAAAAGACATTTCAGTCAAAACACTGACTGCAAATACACTTTATCATTTCATGAATGAAAGTCTTTTTCCAGCTAACCATTTTTATATTGATAAAACAAAATGTGTCAATATGGTCACCGCTGATTATATCTCGACAGCATTATCTAAAGTTTGTTAATGTTTCTATATTTTCTAAACAACGAATAGGAACATAAAACGCTTCATGTATGGAAAAAGCTCTTGCCTCAAACTGAGTGTGTAATACTATAATATTAAACGATGGAAAGTAACATTGCCTCAGATAAAGCACACACACGGAATATCTCCTCCAAGAGGTGATGTGTCTATTCCATCTTGTAAGATGCCTTGATCGATTTCTGTTAGGTCTAAGTGAAATCTAATGAAGACATCAAATCTTTCTCAGACGATTATACTGAAATCTAACATACCTAACTATGTATTGTCACTAAATCGAGATATATTAAATATGTTTCTAGGATTGATCACAAGGTGACACCAGTTAAAGAACCATGGAAAGCAAACAAGGATTACTGAACAGTTATTTCGTAAAGAGTCAAAAACTAGTACAAAACAGCGATTTAAGTACACGTGTTGATGGTTTTCCAATGATTCTCTAAATTTTGTCAACTTGTGATCGATCCTGTAACTAATCAAACCTCTGCAAACTAGGACTTGATTAACAATGTTTATAATTTCAAGGGAACAAAACATCAAGACAGTTATATCATTAAAAAAAACATTGTACATCGTATTACTATAAAACATATGGAATACTCTGAAGAAAACGCGTGAACACTCACTTCCTGATGCTTTTACAGTGGTAACAAATGACAACAAGAAAATGTATACTAACATTATGAAGAATATATATGTGATAATAGAATCCAGGCGGTTAATTTATTAGTAACGTGAACATATTTATACATATGTATATTAGTGGCCTATATTTAGAAGGTAGTGATTGATTGGTAGACTAAATTTTTTCATCTTCTTCAATAATGTTGATTGGATCTAAACTTGCTGAAATAACTAAGCATCAGTTTACTAGTAAACATCATACCTTAATAAGGTAAAGTAAGACAATTAAGTAGTATATATATATGTAGTTCATTCACATTCCTAAGTAAATACCACAGTGATGCAAACAACACCACCACCAACAACAACAATCATTCTACCAATCATTAATACGCATAGCAGAAGTCTTAGTAGAGAAGAAATGGTATGTAATCTCAGATAAAGTTAATTTCATACACACAATATCCTTATTATGTGTGTTGTATATAGATATATGTAAAATTCATAAAACAATGTGCGGTTTCATGTAAATCTAATTTTCTTTTGTTTCTTATATCTTTGCATTCCGATGAAAAAAAATAGGTCGGTAAACTTTGAATTTTTCAGTAGTACTTGTGTTGCTTGCTTAGACAGTGAAGTTGCTAGCTCAAACCCTCAACTTTCTGTCTTTTATAGGCTAAGCCAATGGTTAATTAACATCGGTGAGGATAAAGACTGCATCAACCAGGAATCGAACCCAAAACCACATGTGTTTGTGTCGTTAGAGAGCATTCTCTGATTGAATTAGCGACACAATTTAAATATAAATGGTTAGTCCATCCAGATAAAGTTTAGTCTTAAATTAATGCACTGAATATAAATGGCACCTTTAGTAAAGTCGAAATATAAAACCCATGATATACATATATAAACGGTCGGTTCTTTATTCAGACAAATAAAACCCATGATAAAATTCCTGATGTAACAGTAATCCTTAGCAAAACAACATATACCGAAGAGATGAATGAACATTTACCAATCTGGAGCCTATATTTGAATAACCAAATCATCACAAATGACCAAAAACAAAACGATGAAACAAGCAGTAAAGGTTAACAGACAGATGAAAGAAATGATTGGCAAGTCAAAATAGTTTGAAATTATTCCGGAATCATGTAGTACGCCTAAGATGGAAGCTACGATGAAACTGCCTAAAGAAGGGTATCCGATAAGACCAACTGTAGAGTTTAGAAATACACCGACCAATATCCTATCAAGATTTCTTGCAACAATACTAAGACCAACAAGAGACAATTCAAAAGCTAGAATAGTAGATTCATTTGATGAATTAGTGAGATAACTGACAAATAATAAAATAGACGAAGAGGAAATACTAGTCAGCTCTGATGCAAACAGTCTTTGTGGCTGCACTGAAAACGAAACTAAACGAAGATGACAGCCTAGAAGACAGGACACACTTATCCGTAGAAAAGATAATAAAAGGGGTTAAATTATATCTAAAAACAACATATTTTACATTTGAAGGAAAAATATATCACGGAAATGAAGGAGTAGCCATGGGATAGCCTATCACACCAATAGTAAATGACATATTCACTGATTTTTGAGAACAGAATGCATTCAAACCATTCATGTCATCAATAAAATGTTGGTCCAGCAGATATGTAGATAAGATATCAGTGACAATGAAAAACAATGATGTTGAGAAATTCTTCTCACACATAAACAGTCATGTACACTCAATGAAGTTCATAACGGAAATAGAGAGTGTAACTGGTGAACTACCCATGTTAGACTGCAAAGTACAAAGTGTTAAAGGTGGCGGTATATAAGCAATGATATGCAGAAAAACTTTGTATTCTGAGAGATTCCTTGATTATCACCCAGTTCATCTACTCACAATGAAACGAGGGTTAAAACGACGTCTTGTAGGTAGAATACGTAAAATTACAACAACACCAAATGATCAGCGTGAGGAAATAAATGTCCTATTCAAAATGTTACTTGACAACAACTGCTCGAAGGAATTTATCAGAGATAATATGAAGAAGGAGAAGGTAAAGAGGATATAAATGGAGAATGACAAGAAAGAGGGTGACAAAAAACGGTCGCAATAGCATACAAAAATGGTACATCAGAGGCAATTAGAAGAACCCTCAAAAACATTGAGATTCGTACCAAGTTCAATGCAACGAATCTAATTAAAGAAATAAAATAAATCAAATAAAAGATCCAATAAAAATGATGGATAAAATTAACGTGATTTACAAAATATCGTGTGCTGAATATCCGACTTAACATGCAGGTCAAACGTGTAGATCAATTAAAATAAGAGTGAATGAACATAAACGCCTAACTAAAGGTCATCCTATAGGAACACAAGCTTAGAGTAATTTAGTAATGCATGGGATAAAATCCACAGCTTTGACTGGGACAACATTTGTATCCTGAAATCCAAAATGAACAAATGGAAAGAAAGACTAATAAAATAATCCATATTCATTAAGGTCACGACGAGTACAGGTAAGAAGAGTGACTCAGCTTTACTGTCAACAACCTGGAATGTGATTCTGTATAGACAAAAAAGAACTATTTATATGATTACAAATCTTAAGTATGCAAATTAAAGAACAGTTCTAACAGATATTGTGATCACGGGTAGTAATATAAATAAAACAAAACTTTATCATTGTGTGTAAACTGTTAGAATACAGTTATAATTAATTTGACCTAATCAACAATACACAAACTTTTCTTTCTTATTCACATAAATTCCATGGCCATAGTAAAACCCGCAATAACAGGATCATTTTGATGGTCAGCATAAGAATTTTAAAAATTTCTGGTAAACAACTTGAGAGAAATAAGACTTTTTTGGAAATTGTGCATTTGTTTTACTAAAATACAAAACTGATTGTGATAAGCTCTTTGTTAACATAATTTACTTTAACTGAACACATTATTTGCAAATTAATTTGTATACTTTGATTGAACAGTAGTCAGTGACTAGTGTAGTGTGTATTGTCCTTTGTTTGGTGCAGACTGAATTCTATCAGTCAAGTTTGCAATGTAGCTAGCACTGTAGGTGGCTCGCCTTCATGGCGCACTACACTAATCATCACTAACTAGTGTCCAATCAAAAATATCCAATGCAGTCCTACAGGAGGTCAGTCACGAGCCTGAGTAGCTCAGTGATAAAATCTCTGGGTGCAACACTGGCTGGTGACGCGGGTTCCAGTCCCAGAAGGAAAATGAATTCCTTCAAGGTAGTTGCAGATACGCCTTGCTGACTGACTGGTGAGTGCCAACTAGCACGAAACCTAGTTGGAAGGCTTCGTGCCGATTGCCTGTAACCATCTAATATCAGCAAATTAATTTGTAATCTACACAGTTTGAGGAGGTGAAATTTTATCACAGTTTTCTTTCGGAAACGAAAATTATTCACATCACAATACATGTGACCTGCTTGATACTATAAATGGTAATCAAGGAAGCATGAGTAATTACACGAGGTTACATACTACTGAATTATTGAGATGAGTAGCTGGATACGAGTCACATCACGTTAACCTAGGCTACCCCATAAGACCAATAGTAGATTTCAGAAATACGCCGACATATGAATTTTCAAAACACTTATCTCTAATACTATGTCCCATTAGAAATCATTCAAACTCTAGGCTAACTGATTCATATGAAATGAAAAGGAAACTAAATAACATTCAATTAGAGAATAATGAAAAAATGGTTAGTTTTGATATTAAAAGTCTTTATAGTAATATAACAATCAATATGGCCTTAGAAGCAGTTAAAAGAGAACTAACTTCTGATCCCGAACTTAGTCATAGGACAAAGCTGCCCATTGAGAAAATTATTTTAGGAATTCAGTTATGTCTCACATCTACTGTCTTTAAATTCCAGGACAAAATATATGAATAAACAGAGGGTGTAGCAATGGAATCACTAATATCCCCTATCGTAGCAGATACCTTTATGGACAGCTGAGAAAATGTTGCTCTTAATACATTTAATCCTACTCCAAAAATATGGTGGAGATATGTGGATGACACTTTCACTCACAGTGTTAAAAACAGAACATATCTCTAGCTTCTTGACACACATAAACTCACTAGTAAAGGGAATAAAATTCACATATGAATCGGAAAATGAACAAGGAGAATTAACTACGTTAGACTGTAAAATAAAACGATAGTACTTGCCGTCTAGCCAGATCAAGGTGATCCAAACACTAGATTTATGCACCGGCGGCCTGCTTAAAACTTGGGCTACCAAAAACTTTCATCTATCTATTGCCTATATCTCCTCTCGTTTAGTTTGTTTTAATCGATTAAGATATGACATCTATTGATATTATCTACTCTGGTGTGTATTTAAAATATTTACAAGCTCCTGATTCTCAAGTTCCTACTAAATTTGAGGAATGTCCTGTTGTGGTGGCAACGTGTCCCAATCCAACATGAGATTACCGTTCTTCAGTTATGTCCTTAGGTCTCAAAATGTATTTTATGCTAAGTGTTTTTGAATGATGATTAGCGTAGAATATCGAAAATATTGAAAGACAATACAATCTGTACATAGATTAGATCAAGTTATAACTGAATTTTGGCCATACAGTCATGCACAGATAACACAGTTTATATGAATACAACTAACTGACTAAAATTATCCAAAATAAATAAGTTGCCAACCCTTTAAATAACCGCTATTTTAATGTTTAATAAGAATACAAACTAGGCATAATAGACGTGTACAATAGTTATTTAGACTAAATATAAACAGTTCAAAAAGTCAAATAAAATTCGGAATGATTTCATTTCCAAATGTGTTGATTAACTTATCTGCTACAAATATAAGTATTATTATTATTATCATCATTTTAATAAAATCATATACCAATGTTTAAGGTTATTCGCATTTCCCATTGATTGATTGTATTGAAGTGAAATGCTTGGTCTATGTTGACACGTCGGCTGAAAACACGGCCGTTTCGACTGTGTCTGTTATTTTAACCGATAGTAATTAGAAATGGAATCCAATGGAGATGAGCATTTCAGCCTATTTAAGAGTCCCAAACTGAATTCACCTGCAATCCCTAGTGAGTGATGTTGTTCTTAGTGGGATGTAAATGCGTCCAACTGACGAGTCTTTAGCAAGACGAAATGCACATCCATTGGATTTCATTTGCCAGTCGTTATCAGACAAAATAAATCCATATACTATACACTAAAATTTGAACTACACTTGT